ACAGATTTTCTGTTTTCAAGTTGTTTTGAGAATCCCAAGGTAGAATTTCCAGGGACATTGTCTATTTGGAAATGTATATTTCAAGGAAAATTTTTTAAGGAGATAAACCTTGGAATTAAGATTTAGCAAAGAATGAAAAAGGTTTTACATTTCCATTTTTATAGGTCTTGATGGGTTTCTGACCTGGCTTCACCTTCTTTCTCTAAATCCTACTTGTTCCTGGGAGTTGCACAACTCTCTGTAAAGTGAGAAAGGTGGGGTGTAGGGTGTTGTAGTGATAGTTGGGTGCACCTGAGGGCCACTGGCTCAAAATTCTTTGACAAAGAATCTTATTTACAAGATAATTTGTTGGTAAGTTAATTTTCTGGGGTGAAAATATGTTTAATTAGATTAAACATTGGCCATTGACCACTGGTGTGTTTATGATACTTGCATGAATCCTTAGCTTAAATAACCTTACTGAATGGGGATTTTATTTTGGGACAAGTAGAGATGTTCTTTGTTTTATTTTTCCCATCTCTTTGTTCTTGTGTTTATTAACTTTGCCAGTTAGAATCTCTAGAACTGCAGTTTTCAAAATGCGGCCTGAGGAGCCTGGGCTTCCCAGGGACCCGCTCAGGGGATCATCACAAAAGCAATAGTGAGTAATACAGCTGGAGCCTTAGTATAAATGCAGGCAGGCAACAGCACCAGACTTTACTTGTATTTAGTGTATGCAGTGTGATCAAAAACGGTGAATGCTCAAAAAAAGTTTATTGCAGTAAAAGACACATTGCCATTAATCCCCCTCAAAATAGTCCCCCTTGCTTCGAACACACTTATCCCATCGTTCTTGCCATTTTCTGAAGCAGCTCTGGAAGTCCTCTTTCGTGAGTGTCTTTAGTTGCTCTGTCATGGCTGCCTTGATGTCCTGAATCATTTTGACTTTGGGGAGGAGCCAGAAATTGCATGGTGCCAGGTCCGGTGAATAAGGTGGATGAGGACACACTGTAATGTTTTTTTTTTTTTTAATAAAGATTTTTATTGGGGAATTGGGGGGATGGGAACAGTGCTGGGGAATTGGGGAGGGGGAACAGACAAGTTGCTGTCGTTTTTTGTTCTTCAGTCTAGTTGTGGAAGATGTTGCTTCACTGGCCCAAGTTGGCACCACCATTGCGCTCTTCCCGGGCGAGGCAGATCAGTCACCGGCTTCTGGACGGCCGCTCACTGCGGCTGCTGGCCGCTCACGCTGGCTGCTGGCTACACACGGTAGCCCATGGCAACCCACTGCCACAGGGGCTGCAGCCTACGCCGTCGCCGGCGACTCATGGCAACCCAGCTCCAGGTTGAGCTGTTGTTCAGCATCTTAGCTGTGGAGGGCAGTGTCACTGGCCCTCATATGTGGGATCCGAACCGGGGCCCTCTGGTGTCCCAAGCCAGTTCTTAACCATTGCGCCACTCGGCCGGCCCAACACACTGTAATGTTTTTATTTGACAGAAATTTCTTTACCAGAAGTGATGTGTGACACGGAGCCTTTCCGTTGTGATCACAAAATACGGCAAATCCTGCTGCCGAGTGCCATCCAACGGAAAGGCAGGGATCTTCAATACGGGAAGTAGTGCGTCAAACCTTAATAGCAGTGTGTGACAAGTTTCAACTTGTTCTGTACAGTCAGTCGGGTGTGAGCTACGGTTGAGAGGTGTGTTTTAAAGTGTGCTGTAAATCATGGATCATGAACAGTGCTTTAACATAAAATGAGCAAACAGTTTCATCTTCCATCATGACAACACCCTGTGACAACACACATCACTTCTGGTACAACAGTGTATCTGGTGTAATTTCAGATCTGCCTTTAGCATGAAAGCAACCAGAGACACTATGTAATTGCCTGAGCCTGCTGTGTTCCTATAAAACTTTATTTACAAAAACAGGTATTGAGCCAGATTTGGCCCACAGGCCCTGGTTTGCTGACTCCTGATTTATAGTAATGAGGTCAGTTATATGGGACAAGTTAAGCTCCCTAATAAACAAGAAATATTTTTACCCCATCTTTATCTTTCTTTTTAAATTTTTGGGTAATTTGAAATTGTAGTGAAATGAATGTGTCTACTCATGCAGTATACAGTTTGACCTTAATATACCAAAGTCAAACAAAATGTGTTTTGATATTTTCCTAGGTTACATTCTTGTTAGGTAGCTTTACCCTTTTTTGGACAGAAGAAAATCTTTTATTTCACAAGCTCTTATTTCAGAAGAGGGTGCTCCATGTTTCATACTGTAAACACTTGAGTTGGAATTTAAATAAGACCAGAGGTGTTGAGATATATTCCTTTTTAATCAGGCAAAACTGAGATTAAAATGAATGATTTGGGTAGCTAATCAGAAGACTAATAACCAAAGTTTTGTGTGTGTGTTTTTTTTTTTAATCTTACCCATTCTTTATTTGGATAGACTGTTCACCCATATTATCATAAGTTAATTGATGTAATACCAGGTCAAGAAATAGCATTTTAATGGAATGAAATATTACCCTGCTGCTAGTAATGAGGCTTCTGCAAAAATATAGAAATGTCTGTGAACTAATGAGGTGTGAGAAGAATGTAGTCTCCATGTTGATTAGAACTATATGAAAATGTGTTTATGTAAAGTCATAAGAAGTTGCCACAGACTTTTCACCTAGTTAGTGTTAATGCAAAGAGATCTTGGCCCCTATTTTTATTGTTTGCAGGAAATTTGTTTTATTATAAAATTGGTTAAATATATAAACAAACATAATTTTCAATAGGCATTTTTAAAATCCCTTGTGGACTACAATATGAAATGAAAATAAAAATGTTATTTCTAAACTTTCTTAGTGCATTCCCAGCATTTTAGCAGTATTCTTCAGAAAGAAAATTTACAGGAATAGTGGAATTTCTTTGGTTACCAGAATACACTCTTAAAATTGTTCGGCAATTTTCATTTGATCCAAAATGAGCCACCAGAAGGTAGCCTTTCTTTAGTTCACGCCTGCACTGCAACCTCTCTTTACTTGCATCCCATCACTTATGTCTTTGAGGAGACATGTCCTTTTTCCTTTCCAAGGTGTCCTCTGACCTCCTCTCCCTGTCTTTGCGTTGTCACTGTTCGTTTTCCTTGTATCGGGCTCTTTTACATGTTAGCTTCCATGTAACCTGAAAGTCATGGCATCTCTCAAGAGGCCCAATTTTCAAATATGTAAACCTTTGCACTTTTTTTTTTATTTGGTGAAGATTAAATATGTAACAATAAAACATTAGACCAACGTTGGGCATATAGTAATTACACAATAAGTCAATAGCTGTCGTTGTTTAAAACATCTTACATTTTACCCTCTGGACCGGTTCACTCCCCTTTAACTACTAACTTGCTCGTGTTTTCTCTCTCCAAAAATACTGTACTTTGTTCAAACTTATCTGCCCCTCAAGTTCTGGTGCTTTCTCTTTGTCTTCATTGCTATCAAATCTCTATCATGGAAACTTTTGCAGCCGAGCTTCTAGCCCCATCTATCTTGCTAAGTGACCATGCAGCCACCATAGTGTGGCTCTGCCTTCATCTCCATCCTCTACCCTGTCATTGTGGGAACTGCCCCTCTCCTTAGTGTCTGTGACAGGACATGCCTGGTCTTCCTTGTGCTGCTGTGCCTTTCCTATTTGCTCCTCTGACTTTGAGTCCTCTTGTCAGCCCCCAAATGTTAGTGTTCCCCAAGGTTCTGTTGTTCATCTCTTTCCTGCCCCCTCCCACAGTGGTCTCCTCCTGGGGCTTCAGGTAGCCCCCCCCCGCCGTGTGCGTTCTAACCCGCCGTATTGTTTTAAGCTTAAGGTTTACACCTTGAGAAGTAAACCTAGAGGAGCTGTGGGCATCTCAGGCTTGGCATGTCCTAAGCCAAAGTCATCTGTTGCTGTCTTCGGCCAGCGTCTTCAGCTTTCCCTGTAGCTGTTCGTAACAGTACCATTCTCTCGGCTGCCCAGTTTGGTGCCCTCGTGTGCCATGCCTCTCCCTTACTCTCCACATCCATTAGTTACATTTTGTCAGGTGTGCCCTTGTAAAGCATCTTCCAAACTTACTTTTATGTGTACATACACAAAGAGAGGCTTCTGGAAAGATATCCACCAAAATGTGTAAAGCCTTTTATCTCTGGGTGATGGGATTTTATGTTGCTTGAATTTTGTTTTTTGTAACAGGCATTTATTATTTATATTCTTGTACCCAACCTGTAGTCTCCTTTCCCAGCCCTCCCTTGACCTGAACTTCATCCAGTGGGACTCCTAGCCATTTCCTCATGTCACTCATCCTTTCTTGCCTTTGCTCCTTGACTCAGTGCCTGGTTCACTTGTTCTTTGCATCTCCCGTTGTCATTTTTCAGGGCTTCTGTCAAGTACGCTTTCATTCATGAAACCCATCTCCCAGCTGCATGTGCTTTCTCCTTCATGAGCCCTCTGGTCCCTGTCTTCTTACATGGGTTTTTGTGTTAATTCCTTTATTAGATTGTAAGCTCCGTGAGGGCAGAGATTGGGTCTTACTCATTCTCTCCCCTTTTTGGTTACCATCTCCCAGTTTTTCTTTGGAGGATAACCCCTTTTCCCACTGGCTTTGATTTTGGCGGGATGGTCAAAGTGTCCTGCCAAGAGGATGCCCTTTCTCTGGAGTTTGAATTTTGAGTCATGGGCTACATGGACTGACAGTGATTGGCGCTGACTCCTCCTGGCCCGGGAGCCCTGAAGAAGCTGCTCATTAGTTCCTGCCTCCCAGATCCCTGGAGCTGCCCTGGTCCCTGAACTCTCCGCAGCCGGGCTCTTCTGGTTTCCCTTCGTATCTGTGAGCTATCTCATATCCTTACGATAAATGTCCATTTCTCTCTCTGTCTCTCCCTCCCTCCCTCTCTCTTTCTCTCTCTTTTTAATTTTAAGATAGCCAAAGACAGTTTCTCTTGCTTTTACTCCAAGATTTCTACCAATAGAGCTGTTGTGATTAGAACTGACCAGACTTAATCATTCTAGTTCTTATATTGATTCTGATGTGTCTTTTTCTTCTTTTTAAAAACAAAAACAAAAAAACCAGCCAGAGACCGCTGCTGCTTTGAAACGGACGATAGAAGCCCTGTTGGACAGAGGGGCCATAGTGAGGAACTTGGAAAACCTGGGTGAACAAGCACTTCCGTACAAGATGTCCGCCCACAGTCAGCGGCATAATAGAGGAGGGTAAGTTTCCTAATCACTTGAAAAATGTCTTTCATCGGCTCGGTAAAGAATACTGTTTAATTCATCTTAGAAATTATTATAATTTCACAGTCAGATTCCTGTTGTGCTGGGCCGTGTCCAGGTACATATCCTAGCCATGCTGTTTTGCAAACGGGAGGCAGTTATGTTGGCCTGCAACAAGCTGTAATGAGAGTACAAGAACAGGTCATGCCAGGAGCAACAGGTCTATAAGCTTTTGATTGTCGGAAACTTCTTCTGTCTAAGCATTGTTTTCCCCGCATTTCTTTAAAATGCCTTGAAAACACTTCAGTGAGCAATGTGTTGTTCACATACTCAGTGCATCCTTTGTAAATATGGAGGTTGCAGACAGCAAGCAAAATGTACTTCTTATGACTAATGTATATAACCAGAGCCTAGCCCACGATAGAAAAATGCTTTTACCTACTCAGCCAGTAATCACAATTTTCTATAATGGAATTTTTCTCTCATAGTATATAGCAACTGCTTTAAACATTTGTCAAGGATTTGATTTTATTGTAATAACTGTCCCTTGTATAGATTTTTTGACACCAATTTGTTGAGTTGATATGAAGCTTCTCTAAGCCCTGATGGTGGTTTTTTTATGCTTATGGTTTCTGGTTTGGAGGAAGAATCATCTCCTAGTGTTGGGTTTCCTGGAAGCAGGTGATGGAGAAGAAAGGGAGTCAGCTTTTAGCATAGTGGAAAGGGTCCAGGAGTAGAATACTCGATTCTCCCTCTGGGGCTCACCAGCTAGCTGTGTGGCCTTGAGCACCTAAGTCATTTAGCGTCTCTGATTCCTGCATCCTGGGATACTGAACTCAGGTGGCTGTTCTCCCGTCTACGTTGTCACAGTGATCAAATGAGGGAATCTCTGCGGACAGTCCTGGGTGCTGCTTTTAGTCACATGGAGCTAGTGGTCTTGTGCTGGTGTAGGACATGTGACAGGTCCAAGTGGAGCCTCACAGCAAGGCTTTCTTACTGCATTGAAACCTTCGGCCAAGATGTGGCACATACTGCAAATTTCACCTTTTGATTGCTTCACCTTGTTTTGTGCTAGTGTTCAGCTTCTTGAGAACACCTCTGAAGAGAGTGCCTGAGGCGTTGCTAGGCAACATGAAATGCACAGTGGCTATTCCTCTTCCGCAATCATTGTAACAGTGAGGGATGAAGATTGTGTGGATAACATTAAAAAAAAAACAAAAAAACTTAACCACAAAGGGGTTTGGTTTAAACAGCACGGCTACTAATCCTTTTGCCGTTGTGTTTAAAGAGGAGCATATAAAATTTGCCCAAGAATTATTAGCCAGGCTCTCTGATGGAAGGCACTGACCAGGGGGAGACAGCAGTTTCCTCATACCTGTGCTTTCAGGGGTGTACAGTAGGAGCCCTTTCTTCTGCCATTTTTCCTAGTAGAGGATCTGCCTTGGTTGAGAGTTGGTGTGACCAGTGTTCTAGAATTTGCCGTTCTCACAAGTGGCTGGGTAATGCTGAGGCTTCTGTCTGAGGACCACGCTTTGAGAACCACTGTATTGACTGACTTAGCGTTAAGGCCTCTGTGTACAGTACTGGGGTTGGGTGGTGCTGTTTCTCTTTTATGGATGGAACAAGTTCAGATCCTGGAAAAACTCGCCTGGAACTAAGCCAGAACCTCTGACAACACCCGCCTTACATTCCGGATTCCTGACAAGGTGCATGTGCCCAAGGGCTGTGTTGCAGTCACTTCCTTCATTTATATTGAAGGATTTTCTTTCTGTTCTTTTTTACAGCAACACTCTAAGTGTGTTGTGTATGTGTATTATATAGAAACACGAGGGTGGTGCCCAGCCCCAGTTGGGAAGTTCCTGTGTGAAGCTTGTTTTTCTGGGACAAATTAATGTCTGGTATTTATTTGTTTAAGGTAATGTTTTCCAAAATGTGGTTCTGAAACACTAGTTATACAGGTATGCTCCACCAAAATATGGTGGGGGGTGGGGGGGTGGGATGATCAGTGAGTTGTGGGAAGCTTTGCGTGATCTAATCCCTTCTAGAAAGTCACAGCACACATTAGCGAAATGACTAGAAGCCCTGCAATCCATGCCTTTGTTTATCCATTGTATTTGACCTTTACCTTTTATTGTTTTTACCTTCATTAGTATTCTTCACCATGACTTTTGGTGGATGAGGAGGAGATGAGAGGCTAGTGTAGTGTGGAGTTACCTGGATGAAGATTTAGATTTACATTGGTGTCAGATGTCTGCAGTGTGGGCTTACGGTAGCCTGCTGTCCTCTTGGCTTCGTCCAGCCCTCCCCTGGTCACCGATCCCAGCGACATTTGTACCAGGCATTTTGTTCATTTGGCAACTTCTTTATGGACACTGCATACAGCCACAGAAGGCACTGCAGATGTGTATTAAGCAGATTATGTGCCAGGGTGTGTGGGGTGCTGAGATGGCTCACTTTTATGAAATGATTACAAAGAAATAGAGTAGGCTTGTCTGTTACTTGTTTGTTAGCATTCAAAAGTTGTGAGCTCTTTCTGAACAGCCCTGGAGGCCATGACATGTTCCCTGTAGTTTTGGTGCGGCGCTGATTTGAATCCTGAGGCTGGTGGGTGAGAGCCAGTTTTTTAGCTGGCTGATGAGTGAACCTAGATGCCCTCTGAGAATCCACATTGCACTGTGGTGCTGTTGGTAATCTATGTTTGTTGCTTTTACACTTTATGGGATGAAATTGTATGTCCTAGTGGTATTCCTAAGTCTCAGGATGGTTCTTGTGATTGTTGTGGTTGCTAATCCCAAGGAGTTTTCAGTTGAACCAGGGATGTGCCTGCCTGTGGCTAACCGAGGCACCAGCCAAGGGGTGGAGGGGCAGGGGCCCAGCACAGCAGGTTTACCTGGCCCAGGCTGACAAGCAGGCATCTCTGTTACAGTTACTTCCATCCTGTTGGGTGATTACATTTACCATTCTCCTATCCTCACCTCCTTTTCCCAAATCCATACCCCCGCTACACACATGCCAACTAGTCCTGAAAGAAAAATGAGGGGAAAGTGCTTAGGTAGGAGAAATCCTACTTTAGGGTTTTCTGGGAAGGAAGAAGAGGTGGTATCTGGTGTTTATTATATCAAGTCTACTTATATAGTTAATGCCAAAAAAAAAATCATTGTAGTACAGTCGTTACAGTCCAAATATTAATTTGGGCAGTCCCCACTTTAGAAACGGGTTACATTCCAGAAACTTGTCTGTGAGTCTGTTGTCTGCCTGGGAACCTATTTTCCCATTGGAACAACTTGACGGTTAGGCTCTCAGGCTGATCCACAGAGCTTATTTCACTCATAATCTCTGAGAGTCAGTAGAATTGGACGAGTCATTTATGTGTGGCTGAGCACCATTTTAAAACTTTTTTAAAATGCTGCTCTGCGTTCCACCTGGCAACAGAGTGGAGCAGGGTCAGGTCACCTGTATCAGCGACGGGCACAATATCTCAGACACCTGTAATGTAAGACTGTTTTTCCAGGGGAAGTCATTCCCATGTCAGTTGTCCCCCCAGATGATGTGAGCTGAGGACCAGGCAGGAGTTGACCAGATGCCCCTGTTGCTGTTTGGGCCCTGTTGGGGTGCTTGGGAAGCTTGGGTCGTCCGGGCCAGCTTTCCAGATGGAGGCTCCCACCTGTTGTCTCCAAGCCGTGTCTGGAAACTACTGCTGCCTGACTCGGAGCTGGGGCACCCTAGGAGGCCTGGGGCCATTCTTGGCTCTGGATTTGCTTTGGTCTCTTGGCGGCCCCCTAGATTTTTTTCTGCTTTGTACCTTCACATGTCACCTTGATACCTTCATCAAATCTGGGAAAGGCAAGGTGGCTGTGGTGGAATGTTCTTACTGTATTCCTCAGAGGCGAAAAGGGGCGATGTCACATACGCAGAAGGGAGCAGTGAGAGGAGATGCCCATGTAGACGCTGGCTAAAGAGGGACAGGTGTTGTGCTGACCTGTAGCTGGCACCCTCCGCCAGCACCACTGCAGTCTTTCTCCTGAGCTGCACATACGAGGAGGGCTCTCTTTCCACTAGATGGGGCTGGACTGAGCCAGAGTGATTTCTGGTGCCAGAGGGGGAGCTGAAGAAGAATCTGGTCTGTATTTCAGCGATGGGCTTGCACGTGTTTGTAAAAGGATGCCTGCGACCAGGTCTGATTTTACTGCAGTGAGATTGAGCTGACTTTGAATGTGTCTGCTGTAAGAACTGTTTAAGCAGCGAAGCAGGGTTTTCTTGCCTGTTTCTTTGTCCAGTCTCATCCGCTTTAAAATGTGCATAGGTGCTCATAGCAAGGATCTGCTGGCCTACATATAAGATGCCCTTCTGTTTACGGGTAAGCAGAAGGATAAAAATAACTGGCTCTATGGTGAATCAGTGGAATTTTACTGACTTGTTCCCCAAATGTGTCTGCAGCTTACTCCAAGAGAGCTGGCATCCTCTCTAGAGGAGATTGATTCTCCGCTGTAGTTTTCCCGTTAGCTAACATTTCCATGTTCTCGTGCTTTCCTGCCAGCATGAAGTCCAGGCCAGCACCCTGACCCTCTTCTTGTGTCTAGGTACTCCACAGTGGGCTTTCAGGGCAGGGCTGCAGTGGCCTGGGAGCTTTCTGTTTAGTGGCGGCGTCCCAAGATTTGTAAAGATTCTGCAGCAGCTTCTGTGGCCTTTAAAGTGTATGAGACCCAACAGATACAAAACGAAATGGGACTTTTCTGTGCAGATGGTGTCTTGGCTTTAAGGTGAGTGATTCGCTGTCTCAGTGAAGCTTGAATTCAGCAAGGTTTGACCGATAACAGTCTAGGAACTGGCATTCAGACGGATCTGTTTCCTATCTTCAGAAAGCCTCCAGGAGGCTCCATGGCTTCAAATCCCTCCCACCCCCTGCCCCTCCCCCACTGAGCCACTGAGCGCTTCAGTGGAAATTTCCACTTGTCTGCTAGGGGGAAGGGGAGGCTAAGTGAGTGTGTGACTGTGTT